CTGCGCGCCGGCAGCCGCCGTGTGCAGCCACCATCAATCACCCAGCTGCAGTTTTCACCAGGCTAGCCCTAGCCTAAATTCTACCCACAAAAGTGATGTTTCTGAGGAAAGGTGAGAGAAAAATTACCCAAAGCAAGGCAAGTGCAGCTGGTGCCGATGGAGGGAGTTACGCGCTGTTCAGTAAAGTCATCCTAGATTATACTAGTGATGAGCCTCCTCCATTTGGGGGATTACTGTACCTAAGAATGACAGTTTAATAATAGATTTTACATATTTTTACTACTAAATATATTCTTCCAGCGCCTACTGATTTATTTGCCTGCATGTTTTCAATGAACTGTCAAACGTCAAAGAGATGTAGCTCGTCTTCACTGTATACTACCTCAGTCGGATGGTCTGTTGGCTGTGGTACCATAAGCTGGTTGTGATGCTGAAGTACAGTCTTCAAATAATCTAAAACAGTCTGGCAGGGCACTGCATGAAACAAATTGCAATTACTGTATATTAGCTAAGCTAGCACAAAATAGAACAACAATATTAAATCAAGCAGTGTTCTTCAGGATCTGTTTTGTACGTCTGTGAGATTTATTTCAAATAGGAAATACTTCTCATTTTGATTTGTGCAGTCATTTCATTCAATAAATATATGACGGATGTTGTATTTCCTATGTTGAGATCTCTGACATTGCTTTTATTTTCTGCCCACTAGTTTTCAAAGGTTTTTTTTTCCCTAGTTTGAAATTATAATTATTACAAATTAGGTCAGCAGTAATGATAATAAGAAAAAAAAAATCTGTGAATACTGTAAACAGCCCAAACCATACAAAGGATAAAACATTTCTTGGACCTAAATCATGCATTGATTAACATGTAAATATGCTTGAAAGTTTTTGAAACTACAGTCTGATTAACTATACTGAACAGATTTAATGATTCATATACTTTTTTTGCCTCCCTCCTCCCAAATTTGTTATAAAACTAGGTGTTAGGCAAATTGCTTTATTTCTCTTTCCCTCATCCTCCCCCCCTTTCCATTCCCATCATTCTCATCCATTTCAGTAGTGGTACCGACATCCTATTCCCTTCTGCTGAGGTGATAGGTTAATTACGGATGATTCAATTACGGGTCTCTCTTAAGCAGATGCTGCCACATCCCTGATTAACTCTGGAGTATTTTTGTGATACAGTGCTTTTCTCCTGAGCCTGAAACACCGTAGGAGAATTGAACAGATATTAACCCAACATTACGACTGACTTGTGCAAGACTAAATAAGCATCATTTTTAAGGTAACTTATCACTCTCACATTTCCTATGGGTTGTTTTTGTAAAATATTTAGAGATAATCTTAGCTTCAGCTAAAAAGCCAGAAAAAATATTTCAGTGTTCCTTCTTCTTTTTTTGATTATTTCCTGGCATTCAGCCTTTACACCTGGAAAAATGTGGTGTTTTGGGCTTTGTCTTAAGCTGGCAATCTGAAAGCAAGCACTGAAATCACGGAGAATGTCTCAAGGTAGGATTTACAGGTGTTTTGCACCCTTTCCTGGGCATTCACACTGTGCAGTAACTACGCCCCTGTCTAGGCAGACGGTGCAAAACAGACCCTTTACTCAGGGCTAAGCAGTGTTACATCCAGTAGTCCACATACAGAAGTCATGCAAAGTGCCTGGCATGGATAACAAATTCCCGTGTTGTTTCGCCACATGCTGACTTCTCCGTAAAGACGAGCCATCCGTGTGTTTACTCCTGTTTCATGTGATACATCACACTTTGCCAAAGGAGGTTAGAGGTTATGCATTAGGCAAAAATTAGCATTTCAAGTGACTTGTACCTGTTTAATTTCTCCAGTGACTTCACTGCTCATTGCTAAACCAGGGCAGTGTCTCGGTAGTGTAGCTGCTACACAGTGACATCGCCAAAGTATGTGAGCAGGAGAGCCTGGATGCTTTTTTTTTGTAGGAAAACCCCCCACTTTCAAGTGTCACCAGATAGATGGTTTTAGCAAATTTATCAATTCTGAAAAAGTCAGGAAGGGCAGTCAAGCTTAATAGTCCCACCAACATGTTCTGACGCCTTCCTGTAATGAGAGCTGTGTATTTAGCATATGGCAGCAATCAAAAAATTCAATACAAGTTCTTACGTGGAATAAAGGAGAAAAATGTACTAACCACAGGGAACGTTTTAGTACACTAGTAAGAAGGCATGGCAAAAAAAGGATTTGGCTTCCCCCCCCATTTTTATATTCAGGAAAGCATATGTGGGAAAAAGAAGATTTTTTTTTTTTCCCATGTGGATGGGCTGAAGGTTAAGATTGTATTTTGAGACCCTTTTCTTACACTCTGTGTGTGTTTGCTGTCTGGCATGTCCAAAACGAAGATTAAACTAGGAATGCCCACGCACAGGTTACTCTCCGATTAAGTAGGTGTCCAAGAAAGAGGCACAAGGATCACGAAGGCTTGCTGCCCCGGGGAAGCGTCAGAAACCCTGTGACAAGATCAGCAAAAACTCCCACTCGGGTGGAAGTTACCGTGGGTAACCAGCATCTCCCGTGAGATCCTGGATCTCCTGCAAGGTGTCAGCAAGGATGGAAGGGGCTATGATGGGTGATTGTGCTATGATGGGTGATTGTACTACTGCCTGCAAGAAAACATGCCCGATACCTGGACTTGGAGGAGAGTTGAGTGATACTTGGGAAATCAGAGCTACTTGCAAAGTATGCCTTTCCTTCCCTCTCTAAATGTGTCACTTTTTGTTTAGCAAGCTCACTGAGGACACCGTTGCTGAAGCATCAGCGGTACCTGGGAGCTGTAGACTTCTTCGGTCCCCATGAAGCTGGGCTCAAAACAGTCTGTGGAGTTTGCACTTGCTTTTCTGGTTATCTCTATTAGCAAAAGTCTCTGTTGGTGACCTGCTGGCTCTCAGCCATACTTGGTACTATTACCTGTAATTATGTGAAACAACATGGGGCCTGAAAGGGAACAGAATATAATGCGTCAAAAAACCCTCTAATTTTTAGGCGCTGACCTCACAGCAGGATGGTATTTTACCCACAGTAATTTCACTGCAGGCTATCCAAAGATGTATTTACCTATGCTATTCCAAAGGGATGGGGCACAAGCGAGGAGACAACAGGAAACTATTTAACCTGTTGTGTCCCCAGCACGTGAAGTACAGCTCTACTTTAAACTGTATTCTGCTGATAAAATGCTTTCTCATTACCGGTGAGAAATATGAAGGTACTAAAGCTGGCTGAAGCTTATAAATACTTCTATCTTCATAAAAGCAGCAATGTTTCAAGCACAAAATGGTATGATTTTTGTTACCATTTTAGAGACCGGAGGACTCTGAGTGCTTTTGACTTGTAAAGCCATCGTACATCACACTGCTTGCTGTCAGTACAAATAACCTCAGCCTTTCAAACACCAGATGCAACTTGCAAAGCCAGGCTTCTTGGGCTGCCGTATTAACCGAAGCCTAAAGGAAGCCACAAAGAGGGCAGCACGAGGCCGAGGGTCAAAGCTTCGGTTTTGCTTCTGTCCCCCTCTCATGGCCCTGCAAATATTCTCTTTGCCAAGAGATAAGAGGAACTGTTTCCTCCAAACCCTGCAGCAAACGTAACTTTGTAAAGAGCCTGCGGCTCCCAATTCTAAGCAGGAAAAATCATTCAAACCTACTATTATTTTGTATTTCTTTGACTTTGATGTGGTCTCCAGAGAGTTAAGAAGATCATAACCCCGAGAGCTAATTCTCTGCATGCTTATGCACATATCCACTATCACCGACATCACCAACAGGGATCTGTGCCTACTGTAACCAACGGGAAAGACGCTAATGTCGAAATAACACTTGCTTGTTATGATTTAGTAGAAAGCCTGCGGGGAGGCAGTAATTTTCCTGGCCATTAGGAAGAAGTTTCCACAGCCTTTGCTTCCTGAAAGTGCCAATGACTCAGAAAAGGCACTGGAAGTGGCAATGTAACCTGGCCTGCAGCGAGTGAAAAGAAGAGCGAGATCTTTGTGGGAGCTAAAGGGCGAGGAGGATGTGCTACAGGGGACTTGGCATGCTGGGGAAGGCTGGTCTTGCTAAGATGTTAAGCAGTGACTAAGCAGGACACGCGTAAGAGGTGGCAGGTCTTTGTTGTTTATCGATCCAAGTTTTAAGACTTCATTGTTATTCTAGACATCTGTATGCTGTAACAAGTGCTGCTTCGGCATAGCTTGTCACAGCTTTCTCTGCGGAGTATCCTAATTTCTAATAAATAGTTGAACGGCGTGGTGGCCACCAACTGTGCCGATGACAAAAGCCAGGGTGTGATCTCCCCATCTGACCTGCCACATAGCGCAGCAACTCCCCAGACGAAATCCTCTTTGCACCAGACAGTATCAGCGGGTAAAACACAGTACAACTCAAATCGTCATCTCCCAGCGATGCAGTTTCTACCCTTGGCTTGTTGTTATAGCATGTGCTATTTCACCCTCAGAAACATACACCTCATTTCAAGTCTGCATTTTGTTTTTCTTCGATTGGGTATTATAAAATTTTGGAAAAGAAATGGAACATGCCCGTCACCTGTTACGTACTTCTAGTTAGTGGTGAAGTCATTTCTCCGTCTTCTCTTTGCTAAGCTCAACACTGACCTTCCCGAGATGCCGGGCTCGCGCTAAAAGCAGTCTCCCTACACCTACCAACGTGTCTGTACAGCCAAAGACCACACCAGCCCTTTTGGCCACACTGTGCATCAATACTCGGCCAGAAAGCCACCATGTCCTCCAAAAGCCTTGCTCGGTGTCCACTTCCCAGAGACTGAAACCAAGTAGAGCGATGTTCTCTGTGCCTCAACACATGGTAACGCTGCACCATGTTCGGCCAAGTCTGTCACCTCTCATCTTCCTCACTCACTGCTACGTCTGCACCGCTTGCAAGTTGTGAGCAATGATTGTATGTTTTCTTTCACTGATGAAAGTATTAAATACATGGGCTGTGAACAGTTTCACAAAGAATCCCTCCAGAAATTCATCTGCATCATGGCAATTTCCTGAACACAAATATATTTGCATTTTTTTAAATCATTCTTTGTAATATAATGTTACGTAACACCCTGGATATCTGCAATACCCTCATCAACCAAACTTTTCATCTCATCAAACCCATAATTTTGCAAGATGTTGCCTGGTACTACCTCCATTATTCTCTTTTAGTACTCTATTAACTGAAGCCGGCATCAGCTGTGCAACTAGTTTGTCTGGGCTCAGTATCAGGTCAACGAGCCTACAATCACCCTGGACATCTCATGTGTCCTTTTAAAAAAAAAAAATCATATATTTGCATCTTTCAGTCTTCTGGAGCATCCCAAATATTCCGAAGCATGAAGAAAATCATAGTCAGAGTCTTCTTTGTCCACTTTCATTTTTTGTTTTAGCTCCTGAAGCGAGTTGTCCAAATCTTGTGATTTTGAAAACATCACGCTTTGGTAGCA